CAAGATTTTGCATTGGGGCTCAATTTTGTTTTGTTTTGCCGGTACCAGGGCTTGAACAGAGAGCCTGGGCACTGTCCCTAAGTTTTTTTTGCTCAGTATTAGTGCTCTACCACTTGAGCCACAGCTTTCCTTTGGTAGTTAACTGGAGAAAAGAGTCTCACGGACTTTCCTGCCTGGGCTGGTGTGGACTCATGCCCCTCATTTCTCAGCTCATGAACAGCTAGGATTACAGATATAAGCCACTAGTGCCCACTGGGGCTCAGGTTTTTATAAGTGATTGTCTCCATGGAACAGCAGTGAACAATGCAGAGCTGAATGTAACCCTTTTCTAGCCACTGTTCTGGCTCCTTGACTATGTCTATGGTAACATCAGAAGAAGGCTTTGGTCCCAGCAGACATTTAGTGATTCTTTCTTCATCCTCATTACTCAGTGCATGTGACAGCTTCCCCTGAGTGAGTTTCCATAACTGTCACAAAAATACCTGGGACAACAAAGAAGAAACGATTTATTTAGGCTGATGGCTTTTGAGGCTCTGGTCCATGGTCACTTGGCCCCATTGTGTCTGGGCCCATGTGTAGTGAAGGGAAACAGGACAACAGGAAACCTATAGTGTAGCTACGTGACTTATCTCATGACAGACACAAGAGGCAGAGAACATGTCTTCAAGGGACTGTTCTCAGAAAGCAGGTCGCAGGAGCCAGCTTCCTCTCACGAGACCCTACCTCCTAGCTTAAGACTGTTGAAAAGAGATCTTTTAGCTGGGCACCAGTAAATCACACCTCTAATCCTAGCTACTCAGGTGGCTGAGATCCGAAGATCACAGTTCGAAGCCAGTTCAAGTAGGAAAGTCTGTGCAACTTCAATTAACCACCAAAAAGCCAAAAGTGGAACTGTAGCTCAAGTGGTAGAGTGTCTGCCTTGAGCAAATAAGTTCACAGACAGCACCTAGGCCCCGAGTTCAAGCCCCAGGACCAGTAATTTCTTTTAAAAGCCTGTGAAGCATGATTCTGCATCAGGGTACTTTGTCTGGAGAAAGAGAAACAAATGTTTTAAAAATGGAGTGCTACATCCTAGTGAATGGTCACATTGTTGGTGAGACAATGTAAAACATGGAAGCAGTTGGCAAGCACCTCCATCAACATTTATAAAATAGAAATATTTCTATGGCATTGATAGTTGGAAAATTTGAATTTCTTTAAAAGACTAATGGTTTGATATGTCCGCAAAGAGCATGTGTTGGAAATTTAATTGTGTTTGCAACAGTATTGGGAGGTGGGGCCTTCATGGGAGGTGTTTTAACTCATGAGATCTTCAATCTTGTGAATGGACTCATGTCAATTATAAAAGAGCATAAGGCTATAAATTGCATGCTTTCCACTCTCATACCCACATGACACTTACCACCATGTACTGACAAAAAAAGCATGAAAAAGATTCAACCCCCTCAGTCTTGGACTTTTCAGCTTCCAGAACCATGAGCCATATAATTTGTTGGTGGTGGTGTCAGGGCCTGGGCGCTGTCCCTGAGCTCTTTGTGCTGCCACTTGAGCCACAGCACCACTTCCAAATTTCTGATAATTCATTGGAGACAAGAGTCTGGTGAACTTTCCTGCCCAAGCTAGCTTTGAATTGCGACTCTCAGATGTCAGCCTCTTGAGTAGTTAAGATTACAGGCATGAGCCACCAGTGCCTGGCCAGCCATATAGATTTTTATTGTTTCTAAATTTCCTAGCTTGTAATATTCTGTTGTCACAGAAAACAAAGATGAATTCACATTTATATTTATCACACTCACTGTGATCCTAGGTATCCCAGGAACTAGTTAAGCATAAGCTATTCTGTAGGGTACAGCAGCTTCTTGATTCTGTGTTTTGGACTCTGGGGAAACAAAAGATGAGACATCCTTCACAAACTGCAAGCTTTTGATTTCTCACAAGGTAGACTCATGCTTGATCACCAGGGAGAAAGGAGGGAATGCACAGTTTCATTGTGCAGCTCTGGTCTTGTTCCTGAAGATTTGAAAAGGAAAAAACATGGCATGCTAAAACATTACATCATTTCAAATTATTGTACATCATCTGTCATTGTGTATAAGCTGTGCAAAAGAGTACCTTCGGTGTGATTCCATCTATATCAGGAAAAGCAGAACCATATTCTTTAGAGGTGGCAAAAGTACAAAGAAAGGTCAGCAGTTGATTATTACAAAAGTCAAACATGAGCCAGGCACAGGTGGCTCATGCCTGTAATCATAGCTATTCAGGAGGCTGAGATCTGAGGATCATAGTTGGAAGCCAGCCTGGGCAGAAAAGTCTCCATGAGACTCTTCTCTCCAATTAACTTCTCAAACACCAGAAGGGGTGCTATGGCTCAAGTGGTAGAGCACTACCCTTGAGCACAAAGAGGCTCAGAGACAGTGCCCAGACCCTGAGTTCAAGCCCCATAACCAACAACAACAAAAAAAACCCATAAAAGAGGAAATAATATGAGATAAGAAGGGAGGCACATGGATGGTTCTTAGAGTAATAACAACAGTATATATCTGAACTGGGAACTGGGCTGGTGACTGCACAAGATTTGGCCTCCTAATTTGTCTTTAAACCATGTGTTTGTAGTTACATTATGCTCATCTTTCTGTGATATATCTCAGAATTTTAAAAGTTTCAAAATCATTCTATTTTAGGAGAAAATATCCCCTGTTGTATATGTATCTTGTCTCTTTGACATTTTATTTAAAATATTAGGTTCTATCCATTATTTATTTTTAAAGTCTCTTAAGCTTTAACGGATGGTTTAGTTACTCTGCTCAGCCAACTATTTAAATTAAGAAATTAGACTATGTTTTGAAAATAAAATGTGGTTACCATTACTAGCATAGTGGTTCATGCCGATAATCTCAGCAACTCAAGAGGCAGAAACTGGAAGGATCACAGTCCTAAGTCAGCCTGGGCAAAATGTTAGCAATACTCCCCCTGTTTAAGCAAATACACTGGGTGCAGTGGCATACATCTGTCATCCCAGGTATGCAGGAGGCTGTAGGTAAGAGAATCATCATCTGAGGCTTTGCCTTAGGCAAAAATATGAGACCCTACCTGAAAAATAATCCAAGCAAAAAGGAGGGTATAGCACCTGTCTACCAAATTCAAGGCCTTGAATTCAAACCCCAGAACAGCAAAAAGAAAAGAATTGTTACTGCATTGAATGATTTTTCAATTTTTATTGTTATAAAAGTGATGTACAGAGGGGTCACAGTTATATAAGTCAGGTAAACAGGACATTTATTTTTGGACAATGCCATATTGGAGGATTTTTATGGGTAATGAACAAACCATTGATTACAAAATAAAATACCCTTCAGTCCTGTTGGGAGAACACCTTGTCTAATTAGTATGTGTTGCTTTATGCATAACTAGTAAGTCACAACCATCTTGGGCAGTTAGATCAACTTTTGAACATTCAAGTGATGAAAGTGAGTAAGGGCTCTTCCCACTACAGCTGATTTACATAATTCTCCCTGTGCACGTTTTATGACAAGAGTGAAAAGTCCTGCTGTTTTCATTTTGTGGAGAGAGAATCATGTTTGAAGTCTTTGAAAAGGAAGAGGAAATGAAGAGTGCCTGTCAGGACGCTCTTTAGACTCCAAAAATTCACAGAAGAAGAGTTGGGAGTCTTTACAGTCCTACTAGGAATGCTCATTTGGCTTGAAGAATGCTTATTCTGTCTTTTGCTGATATAGAGTCTTGTTGTTGTGGCTGTTTTAAATTTTATTTAGTGGAATCACCTTTTTAAGTGTCCTGTAAAACAATTCTTATTAAACTTTTCAACTAATTTACCTTGTGGTATGGACTGCATCTCCATCCATCATTTAATCAGAATATGGATTCCTGATTCACACCTCCCGCACATTAGGCTGACAGATGCCAAAACACATTCTGGCAATTATAAGTGTCAATATTTATATGATGACATCCCAGGAATTTTATTGCAGCTGCCCACCATTATGAGTGGTATCTTTATTATTTAGTAAGTTAAACATTTGCTGTAAATGCAGATGCTACCTGGAAAGAGATTCAATACTAGGAGAGATGATTAAGTCATGGTACAGGTATGCCATGGAATACTATGAAACCCCTCACACACAAAAAATAGATCTGAATTTATGGATATTTGTCAGGCTCTACACTAGGCATGTTTCACACATTGCTTCACTTATTTAATTTTTACAAGCACCCTCAAGAAATTCTTATTTTATAAATGAAGAAACTAAGATTTGTTCCAAGTCACCTAGTTTCTAAGTGGTGCAGCAATAGTTAGACCTGAGTTCTGTGGATTTTCCCATACAGATCTGTTTTCATATCCAGTTATACAGTCCTGGTTCATGAATGGCAAAGCTGCATGTACTGCTGACTCAGTGACAGAGATTAGTTCAAGATGATGTTGATTTACGTCCCCCTAGAGAACAGGAAGTGACTTAAGTAATAGTATAACTAAACTTATCTGCATATTAAAGATAAATTGCAATTAGAAGAGCTTTTCCTATACCTTCTATGGCTGAAAGAAAATATAAAGATATATGCAAAGATTCTAGGAATAGGTACTATCCGAATCAGGGATATTCATGCATTTTTGGAGCTAATGTTTAAAATGTCATATTTTGAGCCAGCCACCAGGGCCTCATGCCTGTAATCATAGCTACTCAAGAAGCTAAGAGCTGAGGATCACAGTTTGAAGTCAGCCTGGGTAGGAAAGTCCATGAGATTCATATCTCCAATCAACCACCAAAAAGACACAAGTAGAGCTGTGGCTTCAGTGGTAGAGCAGCAGCCTTGAATGAAAAAGCTAAGGGACAGTTTACAGGCTCTGAGATCAAGCCCTAGTACTGACACAAAAACAGTCAAATTTTGAGTGAAGTAAAAGAAAAGTCATACTCATACTCAAGTGGAATTATTGATAAGGTAAGATAACACTTGTATGTTTATTTTTATTCTTTAAATCTTTACAGATGGACAAAAGAGAAAGAAATCCTTGAGAAAGAAACTGGACTCCCTGGGAAAGGAGAAAAACAAAGACAAAGGTAAAGGACAAAATAACTAAAGCAACAGAATGTAATGGGTGGATTTGGTAGAAATTTTTTTTTGAAATTGCAGAGATTTATATGTTCCAACTCTATTATGTAAACTATATTTCTATGATGGAATGTCATTAAGAGCTGTTTTGGTCTGCTCTTCTATGTTTGAGTACACTGCACTGAATTAATGAATTCAGCTGGTTTGAGCAGCATGTAATTTCAGCCAACTTCATGGTTCCAATTATTCTGGCCAATCAACTATGTATAAAGAGGCCCTGGGTCGGGTAGCCACAGACAGCAGCACTAACACTAACCAGCTGTCTGGCAAATCCAGACAGTTAAGCAGGGCTAGTTAGACGAGAAAGCGTTTGGATTTGTCTACCATGACTACTGGAAAGAAACAATCTCAGGCTTATGGTTTAACTAAAGATGAGCCACTCTCAGCAATTTTATGTTAGATCACAGTATGCTTAGATTTTTGCCCCATATGTTTTGGGAATTGCTGACACTCATCATACTGTTTTGTGTCTCCTTCCATGACTATTTAGGGAACTGACACTTCAGCCAGTCTTTCAGAGGTGTTTGTGGTCAGTTTTAACTAATATTCTCTAGTTATTATGGGCACCTGGGCTCCATTTGTGCACTCCATTTTTTGTGGCTTGTTTTTGATGGTCTTGCTCGTGATTGCTGAATGTGTGGTGGTCTAAATGTATTTTCATTTTGTGACATAATGAATGAGTGTTGAATGAGGACAGACATATGTCTCATTTTGGAGTTCTTTTAGAGAATGAATTTCTGCTTAAAAATTCATTTAAAAAAGAAATGAAATCTAGGATTAAAAAATAAATGTGTCATTATCAGTGTCAGACAAGACTGACTCCGCATCATTGATACTAGTCTCTGTGCACGTACTTTGAACAGTGCTTAAACAAATGGGATTTGGTTGAGGATATTTGGAAATAAAGTCTAGGAATGGAAAACCATTGTTTCACTTCATATAGAGTAGGGTTTCTCTCCCTTGGTTCTACTGACACTTTAGACTGAAAAAAATCTTTATGATAGAGATTGTCCAGTGCATTGTGGGATGTTTAGCAGCATCTTTGGTCTCTGCTCACCAGAGGCCAATAGCACATCCCTTGACCAGAATATTTTCATACTTTTAGTTGGAGATCAAGAGATGAAAGTGTCACTGATTCCTACTCCTAACTGTGCAATAAAACAGTTAAAAGTTCTAATTCCCAAGCTCTAGGAGTGTAGCTTAGCGACAAAGCACTTGTCTAGCAAGTACAAGGCACAAGGTTGCATCCCCAGACCTGTGAAAGACAATCCTAGTGCCTAGATCCTCACTCCAGAGTCTGAGTCCACTGGTCTATAATGGTACTTCAAGTGTGAGTAATTTTTTTATGAGCTTCCAATGTGTAAGTTCTAAACTCAGATTATGCAAGCAGAAAGAACTATCAAGCATAATTTATTACTTGAATACTGGAAATAAAAGGCTATCCAGTTGCATATGATTTCCCATATAAACATATACAGATAAAAACCTATTATAAAGTTTAATTTATAAATTATGTACAATAAGAGATTGAAAATAACAATACTAAAATAAAACAAGTATAATGATATAGTGTGATAAAAATCATTTAAAACTAAACCAATTTCTCATTTATGGAATTTTCCTTTTAATAATTTTGTAATGTATTTAACCAAAACCAGGAAACATGACATTGTAGATGGTACATAAGTAGTATTGTATTATCTTTGAACATTGTTTTAGTCTCAGAAAATGACATTGATATTGGACTTTAAAGATTTACAGTGTAGCCGGGCGCTGGTGGCTCACGCCTGTAATCCTAGCTACTCAGGAGGCTGAGATCTGAGGATCGCAGTTCAAAGCCAGCCCGGGCAGGAGAGACCACGAGACTCTTATCTCCAATAAACCACCAGAAAACCGGAAGTGGTGCTGTAGCTCAAGTGGTAGAGCGCTCGCCTTGACCTGAAGAGCTGAGGGACAGCGCCCAGGCCCAGAGTTCAAGCCCCACAACCGACAAAAAAAAAAAAAAAAAATTTACAGTGTAAACTTTTAAGTGATTCTTTAGAAAGTACCTATTCAAGCAAAACAGAGCAGAAGGACATAAATACTTGCATTTCTCCACAAGATATGTATGAGGTGTGTGTGTGTGTGTGTGTGTGTGTGTGTGTGTGTGTGTGCCTGATTGCTCAGATTGCTTGTAAAACAGCCAAAAGCAAGAATGTGACTAAGAAAGGAAGGTCCAGTGAAGGAATTGAGCAATGTACACTAGGGCATTAGTTAGACCAAGTGATACCTACTGAGACTCAATGAAAGCTTGGCAGTATCCTGTCCTACCATACAAGGAACTGACAGTGAAAAAAAGAAGACAAAAGGCATTGCCCATCCCACTAAGGGGAGAAGTATCAGACTGCTTTATAGCAAGAGAGGTTTGCTTTTTATAAAGTAGATTAGCTGTTTAAAAGCAAGATACACTAGACTAAAGTAAAGAATAAAGGCATCTTTTTCCATGCTTAAAACCTTGTTCATGTCAATACTGGAGCCATCGCATGGGTGCCCTAGGGACCAGAGCAGGTCAGTGGTGCTGGTCCTCTCAAGCATGGTTATAATTGCTTCACATTATTTCCTTCCCATTGACTATTAGCAGTTGAATTCCTAACAGCTGCACATGTGAAAAATGATCATCACTTGAATCCAAGAGTGAAAGAAGGAAAACAGGAAACTCTTAAGTGACCTCTTGGGTTAGGCCATCTAAAAATAAAGAGGAACAGTTTTTTTTTTTAAAGTTGAATTACTTTCCCAATAAAAAAACGTGATTCATAGTTAATATGAATTGGGTCCTATCAGAGTGAATCATGTCCTACATAATATTTAATTTCCTTGATATAATACAACATATCATGTGACACTTCTGTATACCTCCTGCCATTTAAACAGTGCCTACAGAATTTCTTATTGTTACAGACAATCAATTGGGGATCAAATTCAAGACTGACACTAGTTTGGGAAACAATTTTCATACCAAATAGTTCCAGTTCCTTAATTTCTCTAGTTTAATTACTTGACAAGCACAAACCTGTTTTTCAAGACTTTCAGAACTTTGCAAAGTGCCTTTCTTATTTCAAAAAGCAATTAATTTGTGGGAAAAAGGTTAAAACTACTTATGTTGTTCCAGTTGCTATACTTTCTAGTCAGAACATATTTCATTAGGTTTTGAATAGGAAAATTCTAGGAGATAGTCTCCTCTTCCCCAAATATATCAGATTTTGCTTTATATTTATCAGCATAAAATATGACGTAAGTTTAGTTTGGGAAGTGTATTGCCAAAATCCTATTATGCAGTGCTTTATTGTTATTCACTGTTTAAACATGTGACATAACACTACAGGACTAGTTGCTACAACTGTTATTTTTGCTTCATTTTCAATATGATCACATATACTCATATATGAACATGTCATGATGAAACCCCTTGCTGTGTGCAATTTAATATATACCAATTAATACAGCAGTAGAAGAATTGAGTATCACTGGTTATCACTAAAAATTCTCTAAGGAAATATTGAATGCCCTCATTGAGTGCTATTCTTGAGAAAAGAGAACTAGGAGGAGTGTGGTTCTAGTCAAGGATAGAAAGGAAGCAGCTCAGACAATGACCATGTGGCTCACAGCGCATGTGCATACGTGAGCAGACACATATTACCTGACACATTATCACTCTCTTTTCTTGTTCCTCTGCCCCATCTATTTGTATATATGTCAGGTAGCTGTCCAAGTTTTTGAGGAATATACAACTATTTATGCCAGTGAGATAGCACATCCTGTGGTCGAGTACTAGCTCCTTGGCTTCCTAATTCTGTTAGTAATAGAAACGTAGAATAGCCTATGTCAGTAATGAATGTTGGCTCTTCCTACAACACCCACATTCATCCCTCCAAGGAGAAACTCCAAATTGTTTTTCTGTCATATGTTACCTACTGTGCTGAAGCAGAAAACACCTCTCAAAAATCCCCAAGTGAAATTAAGGGGTTTTATTCTGCTACAACCCCATGTACAGGCCTTTATAGTTGTATTTCTGCTCTTAACACAGACTTGGCCATTACTCTGGTTTAAAATGTTGCCATAAATCAAAGAGGAAAACCTTTTCAAGGCTTTTCCACCTGATTTCCTATTAGCTTTTTGTTCAAAGAACAAACAACTTCAGTTATTTTCCTTTGATCATTTTTTGCTAGAAGACATTCTATTTTTCTAATTTAATTTTATTGTCAAGGATATACAGAGGGGTCACAGTTAGGAAGGGGATAACAAGTTCGACAAGAAATATAGTGAGCTCACTACCTTGACCATTCTTGTTTCATTCATAGAGCTTAAGAAAAAACAAACAAGGGAGAAGCTAGACTCTAATTTGCTTCTCCTAGGAGACCTAATTTTGAAATTAACAGGAATAATATATTTGAATAATTTTTTAAATACTTTAAGCAACTTGCCAGTGGCTCATGCCTATAATCCTAGCTACTCAGAAGGCTGAGATCTGAGGATTGGGGTTTGAAGCCAGACAGAGAAGGGAAGCCCAGGAGACTCCTCTCCAGTCAACTACTTCATAAAAAGCTAGAAGTGGAATTGCTGTGGCTCACATGGAAGAGCATTAGCTTTGATTTCTTTATATATGGTGTATACAAGCGTATATCTTCAGGAGGGTTGGGGATGTACAAAACTCGAGGGAAAAAGTGCAGCAGTGGAACTCACTGGACACAGATGAAAGTGAACTATACAACTGGTGTGTAGAGATGGGAGGGACAGTCTGGGAGAGAGAGTGAGGGCACAGATGATACTGTATGAAAGGAAGTGTACTCATAACTTGACTCATGTCATTGTAATCCCTCTGTACATCACTTCTATAATAATAAAGTAAATTAATTTTTTTAAAAGGCTGAGGGATATTGCCCAGGCCTTGAGTTCAAGCCCCAGGACTGGCACCAAAAAGCAAAAAGAAAAAGAAAAATGCTTTTAACTATGGCTCTGTACTGTTGCCAATAAAATACCTGAACCTGAGACTCCCATGGGTTTTCAGGAGGGATTTATTACAGAGATGCAGAAAGTAACTCTATGTATATCTCCAAATAAAGCCATACACTTCTGCATCATGTCATTTCTCCAAAATTGCCTCTAATAGAGAATTTAACAAATCATTTCACAGACCTCCCTGTAGATATAGTGTGGTAGAATCTACTTCTTCTTGTGGCCAGCAGGATGGCTGGACTATACGTAGATCATGAAGGTGACAACTTCACAGAGCTGACTGGAGATAGGACATGGGGACAAAAAACACAATAGAAAAAAAAAACACCAACTTCTTCCCATAATACTTCTAAGTTCTCCTCTGCTGCTTGAGTTATCCTTACATGTGCTATTTCTTTTATGGACAACCTCAAAGTGTATGCAATTAACTGGATTCTTATCTTTGCTTCAAACATCTCTCTTATTATACATGACAGTCACTCCATTATAATTATTTACATATCTGACCTTGCACTCCTTAACTCCATCTTACATTCTGAACTCAGCACTATCGTGCTCCCTAACCCCGCACATTCATTGTGTCCAATGAATGGGACAATGCAATGCCCTTAGGACTTGTAGCCTTCAGAGGCTTCTCATTCCTGTAGACTAAAGATTGCGAGTTGGTAAGCCTGTGTGTTCATCAGCATAAAGTATTATTTACATTTTATCAAAAAGTCATACTTCTCTCTAAAGCTCTTCCCTTTAAAACAGACTTAAGACCCATGGACAAATGCTAGAGATCTAGATTTGCAAACTGTGTGTTGATCCCTCCCATCTTTCTTTATCAAAACTGAAATTTTGGCTATTCTATAAAACACAAAGCCAACTCTGTATGTTTATTGATAATTATCCAGAAAACAACCATTTGAATATGTCTGCCCTTCAGTGTGAGACATGAACAAGAATCTTCACTGGTCTAGATCATCTCTGAATGTAAATATCTGGGGGTTTCATTGTTGTTGCAGAATTCATCCCACAGGCATTTGGAATGCCCTTATCCCAAGTCATCGCCAATGACCGGGCCTATAAACTGAAGCAGGACTCTCAGAGGGAGGAGCAGAAGGATGCATCTGATTTTGTGGCTTCCCTCCTCCCGTTTGGAAACAAAAGACAAAACAAAGAACTCTCCAGCAGTAACTCATCTCTCAGCTCAACCTCGGAAACACCAAATGAGTCTACATCCCCAAATACTCCAGAACCGGCTCCCAGGGCCAGGAGGCGGGTGAGTTGGCCAAGATTTCTTCTGGTGTATGAGGCTCTTCTTTGTGCCTTTGTTCATATGAAAAATGGATATGTCATTTGTGTCCATTCCATTCAGGGAGAAGCTGGCACAGCCTCAAATCTTTCTCTGACTCCTGTTAAACCTGCCAGGTGTCCCTCCTCATTACAACCATACCCCATGCTAAGTACCGCCCACCATTGCCTTGGCGCCTGGTATGTTCAGCCATCTCCTGGTGGCTTACCAGATTTTCCCATCGGTTTTTGTTCATTTCTTCACTATTAGTCTGAGAATATACTAGGACAAATGAATTGGTTGTGGATCTTCATATGCAACAAGAATTTTCCTTATCCACGCAGCACTTTTTTCCCTTGGCACCATAGAATCCCCTACATAACAACTTTCCGATAAATATTATAAGGATATTATACCAATTATCGAGTAAGCAGTATGTCTAGACACAGTGTTATTTGCCATTTCACATGTCAAGCCTATATACCTGAAGTTTTTTAAAGCAGATTGGCTGGCAATTGGTGGAATAAGACAAGAAAAAGTAAGTATTTCTAAGACTTCCTACATCACTGAGACATCTCTTCTCTTCCCTTTCTTCTGGCCTGAATGCCCTGAGTCTTGGACACCAAGCATTGAAGATGGCCCTAGTTAACAGTGCAGACATACCCCCAATTAAAACCCATTTTGATTAATTAATTATCTTTACGTAGTTGTACAAGGGAGGTGTGATTTAACAAAGCGCTATATGAATGCAATGCACCTTGATCTGTGTCACCCCTTTCAACGGCTTCATCCCCCTGCTTTGACCCACTCCTTTCCTTACACTTCTCAGTTTTGTGGTATATTCGATGAGTTCTTGACTACATCTTCCCCCTCCTCGTTTATTGTCTACCTCTTTTTCCTTGGTGCCACAGCCCTTGCATGTTCCCATTTCTTGTTGCTTATTTGGGGGGGGGGGCTTTGACTTGGTCTTTCTAAAAATTGTACTATTTCAGCTCTTGATTGCGTCTCTTAAAATTCAGTCAATTCATTTGGAACTGCTTGCATACCACCCAGCATGTTTACTTATAAATTTATAGGCACATTCTTGTATGTGTGTGTGTGTGTGTGTATGTGTATGTGTGGTCATGGGGCTTGAACTCTGGGCCTGGGCGCTATCCCTCAGCTCTTCTGCTCAAGGTGAGCACTCTACCTCTCAGGCCACAGTGCCACTTCTGGTTTTGTGAGTGGTTTATTGGAGATAGTCTCACAGACTTTCCTGCCCAGGCTGGCTTTGAACCATGATCCTCAGATCTCAGCCTCCTGAGTAGCTAGGATTACGAACATGAGCCACCAATGCCTGGCTATAGGCACATCCTATCTACCACTAATCTTTGTTTCTCTGGGCCTGGCTCACTATACTTAATGCAATTCTTTCCAAGGCTTTCCATTTCCTTGTGACTGGCACAATATCATTCTTTTCAATTGATGAGTAAAATTTCATGTGCATGTGTGTGTGTGCACGCACACACACACACACACATCACATTTCTTAATCCATTTGTCCATTGAGGTGTACCATAGCAAAAATATGGAAAAACCACTTTCTTCGCATTCAGCAGTTTATCCAAGGTAGAGAAGATCCTGAAACTCCGTTGACTCTTGTGGTATTGATGATGATTGAAAGTGAAAAAAATGAAAAATATATGGAATACCTGAAGTTGTTTAAATTTGTTATAAATTTGTAAAAATACCTGAATTTGTTCTCCCAAGCTTGTCTCTCACATTGTATATAAACCTATATGATAGCAATGCTGAAAATTGAAATTTGAGCTTTCTGAGCATCTAGGGCCTGAGCAATCTTAGATTCCTTTTTTCCTCACCAGGCTATTAGTATATCAGCAACCAGCCACTTACTGTGGGCTTCATCAAGGATGGATGGCTATCGCATATGCATACGAGGTCACCATTCCTAACATGCCAGCCTGCATTTTATCTGTCAACACCTCATCTCTTTGTTGAGGATTTTCTCTGATGGCCAGAAATTTCTAGTACATGCAGACGGAAGGTTGTAAACACCTCACAGCCTATATCAGAGGCTATCTGTCATTAATCAATGTTTCTTGAGACTTGGTATATCAATACCTAGTTCCTTCACACATTGATAGGACGAATTCTAGGTGCATTATCTACACTGTCTTGCAGAATTCTCCAGGGAAACTGAGCTCCAGTGGTCCACAGTGCTCAGAGGATTCATAACACTCCCTACCTCCATCTCATTTCCCCACTCACTTAGATGTGTCCTGGGACTACCTCTAGTAAAATGCTTTGTGCTGTTTCTGGGGAAAATGAAACTAAAACTGTTTTATGCAATCTTCCTATTTTAGAAATCGTTTTATTGTCATAGTTGAGGTGTTCTTTTTATTCACAAGATTTCACTGACTTTACCTTATTCACTGGGTATGTATTTTTTCTTGTTTCAAGAAATGAAGTCTTAGAGCCAAATACTTCGTTTTGTTTCCCGAGGCTGATCTTCCATTTGAAAACTTGTGTCACTTGTTGAGATTAGAATTGCCAACACCTTACTTACCTTATTTAGATTTCCTAACATTTGTAAAAGGCCTTTTCTATTAACATATAAGTAGCACAATTAAGCACAATTAATTACATTACGCAGTTTCATTTTGAGAACATTTGTCATGAGTACAAGTAGCTCTTGGGTGATGTCTAGAAGTAGCTTTTTTGCTTTTCCCTATCTGTCTTCTTCTTCACATCTGCGTGTCATTTGCAGGGTGCCATGTCGGTGGATTCAATCACTGATCTGGATGACAACCCATCTCGACTACTAGAAGCTTTACAGCTCTCCTTGCCTGCGGGGGCTCAAAGTAAAAAAGAAAAAGCCAGAGATAAGAAACTCAGTCTGAATCCTATTTACAGACAGGTCCCCAGGCTGGTGGACAGCTGCTGTCAGCATCTGGAGAAACATGGCAAGTAGACTGGTCTGCCACCCATCACTCATTTAAGCATCATTTGTTTAAGTACCAAATTTCAATTCTCTGTTTCTTTCATTGGGCTTGGAACCAAAATGCCCTTTGTGAAAAAAGGATATCAATGTAGATGCTTACCTAAAGATGTCTCGGCTCCGCAACTTTGTTGTGGGGATGGGGTATCAATTGGACATTATTTGGACTATTTGGTCCCCAAGAGTCTTAAAAATGCTCCTGGCAAAGCAATTAAGTGTTAAGTCTATCCCTAGGAACCCCATTCAAGCTGAAGGGCCCTGGAGAGGTAGAAGCAACAAATGAGTCTGGGAGCTGTTCTCAAGTTATACAACACACAAACTGATAGCCATTACAGGGAAAGGAAATGGAAAGACCAAAAAAAAATCACATTAAGCAAAGCAAGCCCGACCCAAACAAGCATAGGCTGCATGCTTTCCCTCATTTGTAATAATTAGAATGTGCCTATAAATCTACAAGTAAACCCAATGGACAATAAAAGACCGGAGTCCTTAAAAATAGATACAGTGCAACATCACACCTAAGACCAAGGAACCAATGTGCATATATCTAAACTAGTAATAGCCATCTTCTCGCCACAGTTCTCTCAAAATATTCTGGAAATTCAGGATAGCACTTTTAAGATGAGGATTAACTTTTCTAACTAAAAAGACCCTGGAAATCCAAATTTTTAAATATTACTATTGGGCCCAATTCTTGTATCTCACACCTATAATTCTAGCTACTCAGGAGGCTAGGATCTGAGGATCTCCATTCAAAGCCAGTCTAAGCAGATAAATACAAGAGAATCTTATCTCCAATTAACCAGCAAAAAAATGAATATATATGGATGTATGGCCCAGTGGTAGAGTGCCAGCCATGAGTGAAAAAGCCAAGCAAGAATGTGAGGCCCAGAGTTGTAGCCCCAGTACTAGCAACCATTAAAAAGTATTAATGCTTAATATGGCAAGATCATATGATAAACACAACATCCATTTTCAATATAAAAGCAATGCTTCTGGTTTTAAAGGGATAAATACAAATATGATGAGCTAGAGAATCATTACAACTTACACTGTTAAGTTGCTATTGTCTTTCATGCCCCAGTTTATATTGGCATTCTGTTTTATTTTGATTAACTCCAGAGTCTCAAGCCAAAAGTCACGATTACTGCTTTTGTCTGCTTATTTGTAGGTCTCCAAACAGTAGGGATATTCCGAGTTGGAAGCTCAAAAAAGAGAGTGAGACAAGTAAGTGAAAAATACAAATTATATTGTTTATTTCACCTAAATTTTCATTGAATTATCCTGGGCAGAGTTTGTTTATGAAAATTCCCATTCTAATATCTTTTCTACACCTTACAATTGATTATAGTATACCTGAGCCCCAGGAGATAAAACACAAACTCAGGAGCTCAGAAAAGTTGTTAGAGAATTCGGATCAGATAATTGGAAAAAAAAATGGAAGTGTTCATATTGTGTTCAGCCAAAAGAAAGCTAGTTTACAAACATTTTACTGAAACTATAAAAGCGGAAGATTGTGAGAATGCTTACTGCAGGCATAACAGTAAACAGAAAATAATTGTATGGCACCAATTTTCACTGAAATGTCATATAAACTGCCATTAACATTAGTATCACATATGATGCTGTTTATGCCATTACTTTCACACAAAAATAATTCTTAAGATTTCAGGGAACTACTGATTCCTAATTTATTTTACCTAAAACTATACTTACTCTTTGGTATCCTTCGGTCCTGTGTAACATTCATACAAAAGAACATAGATAATGGACTGGCAAAAGTAGATTCTTCTTATCAGTCATGTGTCTGTGTGTTTCTGATGGCTTCATAAAAAAATCATGTATTAGTGAATGAAAATTAAGATACTGTTTTCCCACCGTTGGTTTCAGCAGAAGGAAATAAGGAACTCAACAACTCAGAAATGAAGCCCAAGTGAAAATATCTTGTAGCTGATAAGGTTGAAAGTATGGTATTTGTTCATATTGGTAAATAATTGCAATAGTGTTCCTCATGTATCTTGTCTTGTCAAGATAAAAAAGGACTTTCAAATGAAGAATGGTTTCTGGTTGGTTGATTGGATTTTCTTTGTGATAGACAAAGTACTGAACAATATTTAATGTTTCACAGCAGCACTTGCAAGAAGGAATACTTGATTTTTTCCTAAGCCTCACCTGTACAGAATTACAGAACATTTCACAAATATCATCTTATTGATTCTACAATCCCCAGTTATCAGAGTAGTCTCTTTGAGCCCTTCTTCAAGGCTAGAAAGATTAAAACGTTTAATTCAAGTCTATACATGAAATTGATAAGGAAACTCACTGAAAGCTGATGAACAGTAGGGGATGGGAAAGAGAGCCATATTTGCATGTGTGAAATACCATAGCCAATATCCCTTATATAATTGATAAGCACTAACAAAAAGGAGTGACAGGAAAGTAAAACAGTTTCTGGTGGGGATAGATACTAAGGGGTAGAAGAAGAGCAAATAGGGTGAATGAGAGTGAATACAGTCAAAGTAATATATATATATATGAGAAAATAGAACATTGAAATTATTTTAAGAAGGAAGAGTGGAAGAGAGGAAAGGTGGAGGTGAATTTCATCTAGGTACATTGTATGTGTGTGTGGAAATGTCACAATGATGGCCCCTTACAGAGGTAGTATATACTAATAAGGTATAACCCCCAAATCACAGAATTTAACAATTTACTCCTACTTCATAATCCAAGTTAATTTCACAGCCCATTCTTTCTGTTTGTGTGTGCTCAGAAAAGAAGCATGGTATGTACGAATGCTGACAGTTGAGGAGGGCAGATGGAATCCCTTTTCATTCTGGCTGCCTGACACATGCTGGTGGCAACTTGGCTCGAATCAGTGAATGATTCCAGACAATAATGGGTATTCTAGTCAGATGGACAGATGGTGAGGGCCAGAAATTATTTGCCAGTTATATCTGGATCCACCAAAAGGAAAATCTTTGTATGGAAATGTATTTAGGGATTACCCAATAAAATATAATTAGTGGTTACTTGGAACTAGATTCCAAGTTAAGAAATATGCTCTAACTCAATCGCTATTTTATTTTATTGTGTCACTTCTCAGTATCCTTCTTATCACCTTGTCTCTATACTAGTTGGAGAAATGGAAGAGGGGAAGCAATTTTCCTCTTTGTATATTTACCACTGGACTTTCATAGGGTCTGGGAGCCAGGAGAATTTCGGTACATTTTTGTTAAATATATAGATGAGGGAATGATTAAACAAATGACACTTATTGCACAGTGTCGATTTGTGGACCTGCCTAGTGATTTCTATTAACAGAGAACAATACATAAAAGAAATTGAGTAATCAGAAGTGAAATTAATGAGTGTAGAGTCATTACCCCCTTCTTAACACTATTTTCCTCTTTCTCTAAGTACTCATAGACTTAAGATCATGATTAAGTCTGGGAATCCTTCTGGTGATTACTCATTAAGCTACTGTAACAAGCTGAAGACAGTTTTTCTTTACATACTATTATCCTTTTAACCTTAAACGCAAATACCCTATTAGGGGTTTTACTTTTATAATTTGCAGACTAATCCCCTGGCTTTCTTGTTGGCCTTGATACACAAAATTCTACTATGACAGGAATGGAGACACACAGAGCTGCTGTTGTAACAAGTTAATTAATTCCTCCCACATTTGCCATTAAATTCTCTTCTACTTCTTAGACCTGCTCTTGTTATTGAGCTCCTTTGCTCCCATCATTAACAGCAAATCCTCAGATATCTAAATGTAATAACAATTTGTGTGTGTGTGTGTGTGTGTGTGTGTGTGTGTGTGTGTGTGTGTGTGTGTGTGTAAGTTGGGTGGATGCCAGTAGCTCACATACCTAGGATCCTAACTACTCTGGAAGCTAAGATCTGGAGTACTAAGATTTATAGCCAGTCCAGGCTGAAAATCCTGAAATGCTCCATATTCCAAATAGTCAGCCAAAAAAGCTGAGCTGGAAGTATTGGTCAAGGGGTAGAAAACCAGTTGAACAAGCAAACATAGTAATAGCAAAGCTCTAAGTTCAAACCCTAGTATCACCAAATATATGTGTATGTATATATAGCTGAGTTGTGTAGACTTCAGATCAAGGTGAGATACTGTTCACTTCTTTTTCTTGGAAGTCTGTGCAGACTTACTACCAGATGCTGTGCCTTGCAATATTTTTTGGTAAGCGCTGGACACTGACACTATTGATTAGCTGTGTTTTTCTTTTGTCAGAATAGCCTTATGAGCTTTATGTGTCTACCATGTGAACCATTGTTTTCCAGTTGCGTGAGGAATTTGACCGTGGGATTGATGTGTCCCTGGAAGAGGAGCACAGTGTCCACGATGTGGCAGCTTTGTTGAAGGAGTTTCTAAGAGACATGCCAGACCCCCTTCTCACCCGGGAGCTGTACACAGCATTCATCAACATTCTCTGTATGTATTCGCAGGAAAGTATCCCCTGGAATGGAATACCCAGATGTCCAGCTTACTCAATCAAAGCCAATGCTTTCTGCATGTGTTTTCTAATTATTTTTGTCTTTCTTTATTGGTCTCTAATGAATGGGCTGTTTGGTAGATTTTTCTAAGATTTACCTGGAAGAGAATTACCAAGAAGAAAGTGGCAATAAAATGAATGGCAATAGCTAAGAAAAAATTGGGATGGGTTCGTATGATCCCGGGACAATAGAAAGTTATTAATTGATGCTTCGAAGTACCAGGGAAAATTCCCATTGAGGCCTGTGCCTACAAAATGAGTTGGTATTCCTGGTGTGAAGACAGAGGAAGCCAAGGATCCCAGAGAGAAAAGGGGGCAGGGCAACATTTCAGAGTAAGCAAGATGTCATAGCCCAGTGCCAGAACTTTCAACACACTGCTTCTCTAGATACAGTTCCATGGAGGAGGGAAGGAGACAAGGGAGAGGTCAGCTCTGTTCACCTGCATCCACTTCTTTCCTCAATGCTGCAATTCAACTGGAGTCACAGTAGAGAAAGAAGACAGTATCTTTGCCATGTATTCTGGGTATTACCAATAAAATGTCTGTTCCTTGTGTATCCATTAACAGAAAAAGGCCTTAAACCTGTTACGACCTTAAATTTCAATTACATTCACCAATGTTTAGCCATTGTGATGAAATATTTGCCAACAATGGGCTGAAATCCCATTAAATCGGTGTGAATAATACCAGAGAAAGGAGGGAGAAGAAACTAAGGAAATGGAGTTACCTTTCCCCGTATTTCTCTAGAAGGGACATTGGCCCAGGTTTGGCTATTCTTAATATCTTCCATAAAACCTTGCAGCTAAATTGCTAAAGCAGTGGGAGAATCAGTGAAGATGGTATACAGACAGTTCTTAGAGACTTAGAGACCTTCCGTGCATTCATGAATGGTGCGAGCTCTCTTGTTCTTACTCAGAGCATCTCTTTCTTTCCTAGTGTTGGAGCCAGAGGAACAGCTGGGAACCTTACAGCTCCTCATCTACCTTCTACCTCCCTGCAACTGTGACACCCTCCATCGCCTCCTCCAGTTCCTCTCCATCGTGGCCAGGCATGCCGATGACAATGTCAGCAAGGATGGCCAAGAGGTATGTATAACCCTATTACGGCTATCGACAGCAACACTCATCCTGTCTTCCTTTATGGCCAAACAATCCAGTTGGAGAAAAGTAGCGCCTCTCCACCACTTATTTGTGCCTATGGAAGAGACTAATACAGACACTTCTGGAGGGACAAGATAGCTCCAAAGAGCACAAAGGTTTACCTCCTTGTATGTTTTGAGGGTGCTGCAAAAGAAGGCTGCTGTTTTCCATGATGATGCTCCCCTGAAAACCTTGAATTTCCATTTGTGACAGGCTAATGAGCTCCAGGGGTGCTAGGAATTAATTATGTCAATGTGGAGCAGAAAGGATAGAAGGTGGTTAATGTCCTTGTCACAAGTTCAATCTGCTTCTTTAACCTGGAACCCAAATATGATACCCCTTTCTCACTCTTAGTTTCTCTGTGGAACTCTCCTCTTCACTAGTAGCAGGAAGTCTAATATCTCCTTTTAGAGAGGCGAGTTCAGGATCTGAATGTGCTGATCTTGTCATTGCATTTCAATGTCAGGTGGTGGCGACAACTAGAGGAAGGTTTGGCACAGTCCCACAGACCCTATAGCCATGTCCTAGTTGAACCTGGACACTCCCAGTCTGAGGACTTGGGAGAGGGATCTCTTTGCCTCCACATGTTTTAGGGCTTCACCCATGGACCAAAGAGATCCTGACCACTATTTTGGGTTCTCTAACCAGCACGCTATTTAAAGGGTCACCTTCATAGGAGACCCTTTTCTCAATGTAGTCTCCCTGACATTGGATTCCCCAGGATATTTCAGATGCTTTGATATGCTAACATGCACTTCAAATCAACAAGAAGACACCAGAGTCATTGCAAACTCACTTAACCACAGATATGTTTATTTGACTCCTTACTAAGCAAAGCTCAGCTGTATTATGGATTCCATTCTGAGCTTGGCAAATGAACTTTCCCAAAGGATATAGTCATATATAATTTTTTCACTCTAATCCAGAAAGCCATTTCTGCGTTTCTTTTTCTTTCTCCTCCTCCTCCCTGCGAGTGTGAGAAGGGAACTTCTCTGAGGTAGCCATTTATCTCTAAAGGAGTTATAATTAGTGAAACCCCTGCTGGCTTCAGGTTACATAAATGGCTTTGACACCTTATTTCAGCATGCACAGCTCTTCCATGAGTATGCTATAATTCTCATAATTGTTACATACTTCTATTACCTGTCTGGGTATCAACCCTCACAGACTGCATCTGCCTGGTAGCTGAGGAAGGCAGATCCTATGTTGGAAGATGCACCAATTGCCCCTCTCTGACATTTCCTAACTACTATGTGCAAAGGAGACAGGCAGCTTTCCAGTTATTAAGAAGATCCTAAGGAAAGCAAAAAATTCAATCAGAATTTCTACAGGATAGCCTTTTTAGAATCCTTTTTAGACATTCTGTCAGTCCAAAGCTGAACAAGACTCCATTTCCTATGGCAAAAAAAGAAGGCAATATTCATGGACCGGTCTAAGTGAATGTTAGCATGCTAGAATATTAGCTACTGTTTATGCTACTCCTACTACTCTTATTATTGGCTTTGTGTTACAGTAGCTAATCCAAAAGGCAAGAGAAATGGCATTGCCTCCATGTTTCAGAGACGGAAACTGAGGTACAGGAAACTGAAACCTACAGGAAATCATACAAGTGGGCCCAGTTGTGCATTTCATGGCTCTGGAAGAGATGCCATATACTATACTCACCAAAGACTTGCACAGTTACTAGGACAATGTTTCAGCAGATGATAAAGTTCTTGAGGAAGAACCTCTTTGTTCCAATTCACAAAAAGTCACATTGCTTAGTGGTCAGATTGGTCCCTTGACTAGCAAATGCCCAGCTGTGCTGTAAACCCAATCTATTTTAACTTACTAAGAAAATAAATATAGGATTTAGAAAAAATAAAATAAAACTTAGAAGTCTAGCTTCTGCCCAAATGATATTTAAAGCCAAATAATTCATAGGTGTAGGGCTGCTTTGCCTATGGTAGATTGTTGAGAAGCACCATTGGTCTCTACCTACTAGATATCAGTAGTAATACCCACACGGTTGAGCTGTGACAACCAAAATGCATCTCCAAACATTGCCAAGTCCTTTGCATCAAAGGTAGGCAAAATCACCGCTGGTGGGGAACATCTGATAGTGCTTTTAGTTATTGGTCATGTGTTCTTGCACAAATCTGTTAATCTTCTCAAAGCTGTTCTTCCCCACTGGAATTCAGGGAATGAAACTTCAAGTAAAAGCTACATATAACGTAGTAGTACACCTATAGATACTCAGAGACTGATGAAAGGGGACCACTTAAGCCCCATTCAAGACATAGGAAGACTGTCTTTAAAGGAAAAACAAAATATCTTCATCTAGCACTGCACTGTGTTTGAGTGGCCTACTTTACTATAAGGAAAATGAAAACATCCTGGTAACAAAAATTTATGTACAAGGAAGCAAGGATTGACAAGCGTTTCCAGATACTCTTGACCTAAACCTTGCAGCAAAATCATGGACTAACAATGTTTAAGGCAACAGAAGAAATCCAAGGATAGCACTGATTATTTGAAAAGTTTAGAAGTGACAGAAAAGTAAACAGCCCATGAAGACATCTGGAACCCAAGTAAAAAAAGTAAAAACTGCAGGGCAGAGTAGTAGTGTGTTGGACAACAGGAAATTGGGCCCTGTTTTTTTTTTTTTTTTTTTTGGTCGGCCGTGGGGCTTGAACTCTGGGCCTGGGCGCTGTCCCTCAGCTCTTCAGCTCAAGGCAAGCGCTCTACCACTTGAGCTACAGCGCCACTTCTGGGCCCTGTTTATGGAGTACTGAATACCTCTTTATGAGTAGGTGGTTGATTCTTTTCATATGTAAGTCTTTAGAAAGATTTGGTAACAAGTAATAGAATCCATACTGGTTAGAAATAGTGAGTTAGAAAGCTTCTGTTATCAATGCCAATACCAAAAAAACCCCATGAATTCCCTTTACAAATGTTTCTTTGTAAGAATGGCCTTAATATGTGAATCATATATGCTCTGAGCACTTGTCCCAAGTTAGTCTAAACCAATGTTTGTGGTTCAGGCATTTTCCAATGGATTTTCTGGGTATGCTATGGCATCTAGGAGGCAGAGGAGCAGAGGACTGAACGCAAAAATAGAAGTACATAAGATTTTGTAATTGCTGCAGAAATTGAGAGAAGGCGGCATAAAAAATGGACTACAAGATTCAAAAGCGTTCCATAGAGGAGATACAAAAAGATGAGCTGTAGAAGGATGACATAGAGAAAGCTAAACTCCTCTGGAGTAAGTTAAGGGACAGAAACAAAGAGAGGTTCTTTGCTTAGTATTTCTTTGTTGGCTTGACATGAGCAGGTAAAGATCAAACAATAGACAGATTAGAGTAGGGTGAAAAATAAAACTGTAAAACATGTTAAAAAAAGAAAAAGCATTTTCAAAGTTTTCTCTCACCTATTTCTTCGTCTAAGTTAGCTATTCATTTGTGGATTGTAGCATAGATGACAATTAACCCAGATAATCAAACTAAAGACTGATGAGGCCCTGATAGCACGTTCCTGCAAGACCTTTACTTTATGAATGAGAGAAAGAGGAAGGAACTCAGAGTGGGGACCAGGGAAGGCTGAGCCTCCTCACATGAAAATGAGAATGACATTTCCTTTCTAAAAGATGCTTAAAACTCAATGCGATTAGCTAATGGGATTGTAAAGATGTCTAAAAACACGGACAGTTGGAGCTATTTAGGTGGAAAACAGTGATATTGTATTGATTTGTGGGGGTTTTATTGTTATCTTGTGTTTTGTTTTATTCCATTTTATTTAGTTTGCTATTTCTTTTGCAACATAGGGAAAAGAGCATTTCCCAAATGCAAAAAACATTTCATTTCTTCTAGAAAGAATATAGTAGCAAAATTGAAACCTCCTGAGCAATGATTTTGTTCAGAGTCCCATAAGCCCCTGGCATTTCATGGAAAATGTGGTATGAGTGCACACTTATTTGGCATCACATTCTCAAAAGGTCTGGGTCGGAGGCAAAAAGAATCAGGGTAGAGCTGATCTTTGTAGAGGTATGTGCCTCTAGGAAATGCGAAGTTGGCTATGGGATTTTGGCAGGACTAGTGCCTCCTTTGCCTCTATCTCCTCCAGCCCTGCTTTAGTACTCATTTTTCCATCCCCCTTGCCAAGCAAGAGTGAACAGGAGTGGGGCACCTGGGTGGGTGCTTTCTGGAGCACTCTGCTTGCTGTCCTACCTCCTGGCTTTAAGCTCTGGACTTCACTGCACCAACCCCATGTCTATAATAAGGATGACAGCAGCTGCTTCTTCATAAGCTTACAGTGAGAAAGCGTTGGGAATAATCTGTGGAAAGCTCCTAGTCTGCTGTCTGTAGACTTTTAATAAATATGAGCTATTTATATGAGGCTTAGACATGATCTAGGATGCTTAGTGAAGATAAAAGTTTTCTTTGAATTGTCTGGCTAGTGAAATCATGCAATAATGACCTAGCCTTAAGTGCACATATTACCTAGACATACTGTATATGGACAATTAGATGCTGAAACATGGGGAGCTAAGGTGGAAGGTGTCTGGAAGCATGTCTCCAGTTTGAAAACAATAAAACTAAACAACACAAAAGCAGTAACAAAACATAGCAGCTCGGTCTGCAGCTGGAATCAATGTGAAGTCATAGAGACAGTTGGAGCTGCATTTCCAAAATAGCAACCAGAGAAGCGAAGAGCAGAAGCAGCACTCTGGACTCTCCACTCTTCTTGGACTAAACATTCTTTAAAGAGAAAACAAAAAAGTCTATTTGTCAATACTTTTTAAAAAGGAGAAAAGCCCTAATGTTAGTTTAAAGGGAGGAGTAGAAGCAATGCTGATGCAAATTCTTAAAAAAAAAACACAAAAAAGAAAGGAGTTGAAAATGATACTTAATTTTATCCTTAACCATGCATTTCCAGGAAGAGAACTAAAAATTAAAATGAAAACTTGCCAAGTTTCAGAAAAATGAAATCAAACCCAGGAAAGATCACTGAAGGGCCTGTAAAACAGGACCCTTTGATTTTTCAAATACCTAGTGTTTACTACATGAAATAGTTTCCCCTGGCAGCAAAGCATTTACCTGAAAACACTTTCTACAAAGTGAAGCAAGCCAGGTGGCATGCAGGGGCTGCAGGATCGGACAGGCAACAGTTCGGGGTATGTCTGGGTGAGGGTGGGACTCAGGGAACCCTCTTTGGCTCCCATTAGGACTCCTAACTTCTATGCCCGGTTCCTACATGCTTCTTAAAGGCTGGGTTGATCATCACAGAGGAAAGAAATCTTATTTGTGAAAGCTCTAGAGTCTCAGCTAATATTGACAAGAATAATAAAAATTCACACAGACCAGGCTGGGAAGGTGGCTCAGTGGTAGAGTGCTTGCCCTGCATTCATGAAGCCCTGGGTTCGATTCCTCAGTTCCACACAAACACACAGAAAAAGTCAGAAGTGGCACTGTGGCTCAACTGGTAGAGTGCTAGCCTTGAGCAAAAGAAGTTCAGGGACAGTGCCCAGACCCTGAGTTCAAGCCCCAAGTCTGGCAAAAAAAAAAAAAAAAAGAAATCAAACAGACCAATAGTTCTCAATCAGGATAAATTAGGACTCATAGAATTAGGACTCATAGAGAACGCACTATATTTGCAGTTGTCCCAGCTGGAGATGGAGGGATGCTGCTAGCATTTTGAGGGCTGAGGCCATTCAAAATCCTACCATACACAGGGCACTCCCCCAAGAAAAGAAGGATCTGACTCCAAATGTCACTAGTGCCAATGTAGAGAAACTGGTCTAGCAAAACTTACCCAGGCTCTCCCTCCTTTGTGAAAAAGAGGCGAATAAGAAAAAAGAATCTCTGGGTTTTTAGGAGTGTTCATATTCCTTATTATAATAATTGAACTTATAGGAATTACTCCTAAGACAGTGCTCAACAAAACTCACAAAATGTGGTTTGGAGGGTATTTTCTACCAGTTACTATAATGACTCCACACCAAAGCACACAGTGAGGCCAGGTGCTGGTGGCTCGCACCTGTCATCCTAGCTACTCAGAAGGCTGAGATCTAAGAATTGCAGTTCAAAGTCAGCCTACACAGGAAAGTCTGTGAGATTCTTATCTCCAAACTACCAAAAAAGCTGGAAGTAGAGCTGAGACACAAGTAGTTGAGTGCTAGCCTTGGGCAAAAAAGCTCAGGGACAGTGCCCAGGCCCTGAGTTCAAGCCCCAGGATGAGTGCACACGGAAAAAAGAAACACAACGTTTATATGTTGGTTGTGGGCTGTGGTTAAAACAAAACATGATCTATTTATACAATGGGATACTAGGAGCCAATAAAGATTGAAGAGAGAATTCTGGGATCCTGTGGCTCACACCTGTAATCCTAATTACTCAAGAGGCTGAGATCTGAGGATCACACTTCGAAGCCAGACCATGAAGAAAAGTCTGTGAGACTCTTACCTCCAATTAATCATTAGAAAACCAGAAGTGGCACTGTGGCTCAAAGTAATAGAGCACTAGCCTTGAGTGAAAAAGCTCAGAGACTGTGCCTATACCCTGAATTCAAGCCCCACAACCAATAACAACAAAAAAAGATTGAAAAGAGATAACTTTTTGGAAAGTGAGAGATTAATGTAACACATATTTGGACTGCTCAGAATGAAGGCTCCTTATACACAAATATTGCTAATAAAAATGTGAGAGAGAAAAATGACAAAAAGGGGGAGGAAGGAGCAGGAGAGATAGACTATAATGGAGGGTATTACTATATGTGCGTATGGAATTGTTGCAATGAAACTCCCTCATATTTTTAATGTATGCACCTTCAAAAATAAAACCAAATGTAAAAAATGTAGCTACTAAGCAAGTTATACAATAAGAATGCCATGTGACACAGGAAAGAAATAATAGCATGGCTATATATGTACTCATGCATATAGGAAAACATCTGAAAAGCTGATTCTTGCAACTAATAGAATTATGGGCATTTTGCTTCTACGTGCTTCTGTTTGCTTATTTTTTACTTTTTATTTTTTACTTAAAGTTACCACACAGTTCCCTTCCTTCACCTAGTGCTCTCTTTTAGTTCCTTCCATATCTCTCCTTCCTCTTTCTTGGTAAGAACTTTTGAAGAAAGCATCTGCATTTCGACTTCCTGACCCTCTACTGGAAAGGCTGTGTGGTTAACCATCAGCACCATGGGCCGTTCTGACCTTGAAAATATCTCACTGAACATCTGCTACCGAGGAGCACACACTTGAAATTCCCTTCGTGTCTTCCCAGATACAAGTAGCCTTTATTCTGGGAATGACTGACTCATTCTCTGCTTCATTAACTGTCCTCATTTATGGTGTTGGAACCTAACAAATCCCACCTTAGGTCTCCATGTTCCTCTTCTAGTCCTTCCACTTGGAGACCTTACCTTCAGCGTGAATGTTCTCAATCCTTTTCTGCCCTGCTGACATTGGAAGCTGTTCTTCAATCCTACTTTTCTGATCTTAGTTCAGAAGCTAGCTGCTAGATCCTAGACCAAGGCGGCATGGTCCAGGTAGAAACACTTCATTAGATTCCCCCACTAGACCTCAGACCACACCTTAAAAGAGACCAGTATGCTGTCCCTTCTCCTCTGTTGAGACTCCTCTGGCCCTGAGGTTCCTCCTCTCTCCACGCAGCACTCCTGTCTCATGAGCTTGCTGTCTCTACTTGATCTATATCAAATGTTATTGCTAGTTTCATTATTCACTTCACTGTGAAATTGCCCTTTCTCCAGATTTCCTGATTTGCAGGCTAGCAAATTCTATTCTTCCTTTCAGATCTTATACATATATAGCCACTTCTGTGCTACAGTCCCTGAAGTCCCGAGAGTCCCTAGAATGGAGGACTGTTTGTGCTCACTGCCTGAAAATGGCAGGTGTATTTCCTTCCTAAAATGCAAGCCCTTTCATCCAGGAGCTCATACCTGTAATCCTAGCTGCTCGGGAGGCTGAGATCTGTGGATTGCAGTTTGAAGCCAGCCCAGGCAAGAAAGTCTGTGAGACCCTTATCTCCAAAAGGCTGGAAATGGAAAGGCTGGAGATAGAGCTGTGGCTCAAGAGGTAGAGCACAAGAGCTCAGGGACAGCATTCAGACCCTGAGTTCAAGCCCCTGGACCAGCACATACAAAAACAAATGAGCCCTTTAAGGCCTGTGGTATGATTATTGTTGGAAATGTTTGAAAATAATTAAAATCCATGTAAATTACTGAGCCTAACATAGACACTGAGTGGCTACATCAATGGAGAGGTTATGGGTAAAGAGATGATGGATAGATAGGCATTGATATTTTCAGTACTGACAAAATAGAAAGTTTATGTAATACTAGCCTCACAATAAATAGCTTAGAGTTACAAATTTTTTACTCCATATTCTATTAGGATGACCTGATCTTCAATGTAAGGTACAAAGCAAAAGGGAAATGGATAGATTCTAACAGATATAATATTGTCTTTGTGAGGGACAAGGGAAATGCAAAAGACAAAGTTTCCTAGATTATGCAGCCACCTAGAATCTCAAGTAACAAACATAACAATAGTCCTTGTGTTCTCTTCTCCTACAGGTCACAGGGAACAAAATGACATCTCTGAACTTGGCCACCATATTTGGACCCAATCTGCTACACAAGCAAAAGTCATCAGACAAAGAATTTTCGGTCCAGAGCTCTGCCCGAGCTGAAGAGAGCACGGCCATTATCGCTGTGGTGCAGAAGATGATTGAAAATTACGAGTCCCTGTTCATGGTAGGTGACCCTTCAGCAGCAGCTGTCTCAGGGAACTGTCTATTGGTTGCCTGTTGTACAGTAAAGTTCAAGTTCATCACTTTCTGTTTTGCAATGCTGGCAAGTGACTGAATTCCTCAAAAGTCTGACAGGCTTAGAAGAATAAGAAATTTCCTAACTGAAAGTAGAGGTGTGGCTCAGGTGGTAGAGCACCAGCCTTGAGTGAAAAAGCCATTCAAGACCCAATACCAGTCCACACAAAACTGTCTCATAACTATAATGCCAAATGTTGTTTGTGAGTCATTGCTTAACATACATACCAGAATTACAAACTTTATTTTGGTCCTCTAAAGACTAATTACATTTGGAAGAAAGTGAATGATCTTTATATAACAGTAGTCCTTGCTCAAAATATTGATAAAACTTTTTTTAATAGTCCGTTTGTGGTCTTCATCAATTCATGTGTTCGTAATCAACCTCAGTGGTGTCACCTGCTCTAGGATCAATCCCAGCGTTCGGCCTCCTGCTTCACATCTACTTGCCCTGTCCTTCCCATGTTGCCTCCTATGCTACTGCTCTCTCTCTCTCTTGATCCTCAATGCTGTTCTCCTTGATGTTTATCTCACCATTATGCTGCAGCCATTTATGACCATTTCCCCTACTAGACTAGAAGGGCATTTAAAACAAGGGCTGTGCCCTTGTTATCTCCTCGCTGTATCCTCTGTTCTCTCTTGGAAGGCCTTCCATCTGGCAAGCAGTCAAGAAATATTTTTTTGAGTTGTATTGAATTACCAGTTCCTGTTTTCCTTCATAAAACTGCATTGCTTGCTCCAACTTCCCTTGAAACATTAGAACAAATGCCAATTCTCTTCTATTTCTGTTCTCCTCTCATATTGCATGTCAGAATTTACAGGAAATATCTGTGTTTCTTCTCCCATTTCTCTTGTTACTCTACAAGCATTGTAAAGCCCATCTGTTCCACTAGAGCCTTTAGTGACTTCTTCAACGTAAAAATGTTAATTGCCTCTTTTGAGTGTCCCTAAGTAGTAGCCTAAGCTTAGCAAATACCTTGCATTTAATTCTTTTTCCATGTTTCCCCCTTTGTGACCACACTAAGGCTTGAACTCAGAGCCTGTGCGCTGTCTCTTCAGGGTTTTTTTGTTTGTTTGTTTTTGCTTAAGGCTGGTGCTCTATCACTTGAGCCACGGCTCTACTTCCAGGTTTTTTGCTGATTAATTGGAGGTAAGATTCTCGTGGACTTTCAACCTGTAATCCTCATATCTCAGCCTCCTTAGTAGCTAGAATTACAAGCATTAACCACCAGCACTTGGCTCCTAGGTTTGTCTTGTACTAATTTATTTTGGAAATCTGAGAGCCAGTTGTTTAGAATAGTTTCCTTGGATGTCTTACCTATGGGACTATGAACGAGTACTTCAAGTAAGCATCAATTTCAACTCCTGTGAAATGGGAAAGATAAAAATAGGACTAAATCCCAGAGTGGTTACCAGAATCATTCAATCTGTGAAAATATTATGCAAACTGTAAATGTCTGTGTGAGTGTTAATGAATAATTATATTAGTTGGTTAACATGAGCTCTCTTGAGTTGCAGAACTTTAATACCATAGACAGAAGTATTCTGTTGACATAATGCTTAATCAGATATTTGGCAGGAAGCCTTCCAGGTGGCAACTTAGGAACTACAACTCCTTGCACAGTGAGACTCTGCCATACCTAGGATTTGATGGTCAAATCCAGAAGGACCATCCATCATATATACTGAAATCCCATTGGCCAGAATGTATTTACAGGCATACTTAACTGCAAGAAAGGCTGGAAAGTGTATTCTGGCTAGATGCCCAGAAGGTAAAGGAAATGGATGACCATGGTGAAAAGTTCACTGAGATGGAATAGTATCTTGCTCTTCTTTTTTGTTCTGAATCATTGTCCTTGCGTTGTAAATGGTCAGCTCTCAAAAATGTTGAATTAGTCATTGTCTTTATAAAAATTTCACACTTCAGCCCAAATCCTCATAATTAATTACATATTTAGACGAATCAAGTGTCTGATGTTTTCAACATTTTCATCAAGTTTTAAGTCCCATATCATCTTGCCAAGTACTCTTGGCATTACTTCATGTTCTCTGGACTTCTTTTTAACAAAATAATATCTCTCGTCGATCTTATTTCAATTCTCAAAATTTTGTATTCTAAGCAATGTTTTCTTTTATATGAAACCACAAAGCATTGTGCATTTTTTTCTCACCTCAGATACTAGCAGAACTCTTCCTAGCCTCCTCCAAAGCTAAGAACAGCAGAAAAATATCAGTATTTCCCCTTTTCCAAATACAATCTCTGTAGAAATGGCTATGGAAATTCTCTAGATGGTAGTAACTCAAATTGGCATTCCTAAGTTGTAGTCTTTTTTGTGTTAGTAATAGGGTTTAAATTCAGGGCCTCATGCTTGCTAGCCAAAATGCTGTACCACTTGAACCATGCCCACAGCATTTTCTTTTCTTTAGTTATTTTTTTTGTCGGTTGTGGGGCCTGAGCTCTGGGCCTGGACTCTGTCCCTCAGCTCTTCAGCTCAAGGCTAGTGCTCTACCACTTGAGCCACAGAGCCACTTCCAGCTTTTTCTGCTTATGTGGTGCTTAGGAATTGAACTAAGGGCCTCAGGCATGCGAGGCAAGCACTCTACCACTGAGCCACTTTCCCAGCCCTAGTTATTTTTTGTATATATTTGGTCATATATTTTTGCCTGGTCTGGCCTTGGACCAGAGATCTTTCTACATCCACTTCTGGAGTAGCTGAGATTAGAAATACATACCACCTTACTCAGCTTTTTTTTTTTTTTTTTTTGTCGGTCGTGGGGCTTGAACTCTGGGCCTGGGCGCTGTCCCTCAGCTCTTCAGCTCAAGGCCAGCGCTCTACCACTTGAGCTACAGCGCCACTTCCAGTTTTCTGATGGTTTTATTGGAGATAGGAGTCTCATGGTCTCTCCTTCCCCGGGCTGGCTTTGAACCATGATCCTCAAATCTCAGCCTCCTGAGCAGCTAGGATTACAGGCATGAGCCACCAGCGCCCAGCTCTTACTCAGCTTTTTTGTTGGGATCTCACCAACTTTCTGCCTAGACTGGCCTGAATCTGAGTCTTCTTATCTCAACCCCAGGTAGCTCGGATTATAGGCATGAGCCACCAGACTTGGCCCCTAAATTATGGCCTTTCCATCTTAAAGAGGCCTTCCTTGACATCTTGCCTAATATGGAACTTTCTGCCACTACCTTCATACTCCCCAACATATACATGACTTTTCTCCCTATGCCCATTTCCTACCTTTTTGCTCTCTAGTGGAGAGATTTACTAACTTCTTCTGTTTGTTTGTTTCCTCCCCAAAATGTAGTTTGGGGGTCAATTTCCACCTACCTTCTTTACTGAATTATTCCTGTAATTGTTCCCATTATAGGACATGATGAGAACAAAGTAAATATTGGTTGAATTAGTGAATGGCTCAATGGTAGCGCTGTGATATAGAATTTCGATATTACCAGTTGCTACCTATACAAATGTGAAAAGTTTAGACCTAAGGGAATTAAGTATATCTTCATCAGAGTAAGTTCATCATTAATATAATCATTCTTAATCTCCTTAGATGAATCATAGGAATTATGACTTGGTTATCAAGGGGTAACACAATTAATTTCATTACATTTTTGATGCCCTTAACGTAATTGGCATTTCAGAATCTGTTGGTGTTTGGTGAAAAAACTGGTTTGTATGGGTGGAGAATAAAAGACAACTTTATGTACATGTGTGTCTCTATACACACGTTTGCATACATACATGCATAGTTTGGGTTTGCTTTTTAGAGAAGCTTCAAAAGGGCCCAATAGCTAAAGGTAGTTAGCAATTTTGAAGCTTTATGGTTGTTAGAAAGGTTTATGAGCTCAGTAATGGAGACATTGCCTCCATTGATACTAGAAAGCAAGACTTGCTAGGGGAGATTGTGATCAGCTTGTCCTCGGAAGCATAATATCTCCTGCGGGCAATGATTCCATAGAAGAACTAATGGAAGGGATCTAGAAACCCCCAGAGGTTTAGAAAGGACCCAAACATTGTTCCAAATGTCCTTCATTTTCCAAAGCTAAGATTAACTCTCTGCTGTGGTTAAAAATCTGAGTTAATAGCAAGAGGCAGAAAAGAGCTAAGTTTTGGCTCAGAATACAGAAGAGACGAGACACCTAGGTTCCGAGACTAACATACGGTTCAAAGGCTAACATGAAACTGAAGAGTCAGAATTGGAGCTGGGGGTGGGGGGAGGGTATATCAGGAAGCCCTAGGTTCCACTCTCAGCACTGCAGTAATTTTGTTTGAAGGAAGGGGTGTAAGTAAGTTGCGCTAGTTAAGTCTTGCACTGATTGTTTGCTTTGGGGCGCTGGTATGGAAGTCCTAGAGTTGGAAATAGATCATGATAACACCCATCGTGCAGCAGCAGATTATAATCGTTTTTGTCAAACATAAACAAGCAGCAGAGATGGCAAGGACAGGTGTTAAACATTCAGGTTCCTAGGCTCCTCTCCAAAGAATTGGCTTGAGTAGCACTGACATACTGAACGTGGGGCTTATGAATCTATACTTTCTAATGAACATTAGCCGTGGGGGGGGGGGGGGGGGGGGAGAGGTGCGGCAAGATTCTGGTCAGAATTTGGGCAAACACTGGTTAGCTGAAAAGACCATGTGTTGCCAAAATTTAGATGTCAACGAGTGAGCCAAATTCAGATTGCTGTTCAGCCATTTTGCCAATATAACCTCAGGTCCCACATTTAATGTCCCTAAGCCTTGCTTTTGCTGTTGTACATAAATAAGATTAATGGATCTACTTTTCTGGATTATTTTCACAATTCTAAAGGATGTTTTAAGGCTTCAAGGGAAGATCTGACATATACAAGACACTAAAATAATTGGAATAGCTGCTATTATGATACTGAAGTGCTAAGGTATTTGTTCTATTATAACCAATTCAGGC